GTCATCGGAATCGAGCCAGTTTTTGACCGACTTTTTTCTCCGTGGACAGATTTGGCTCAAATGTTGTCTCCTGGGGTAGTTTGACCTCCTGAATACGAATATCTATTCGCTTGGCCCGAAACCTTCTGGCGCCCGCGCCACAGGCGCCGGTAGTTTTGGGTGTTTTGGCGCCGGCGCCAGTAGCGTGAACGTGAACTATTCCTAATCAGGAAGTCAAATTACCCATTGACCATGATTTCAGCGAATTTGGTGATTTGGGGTATTTTGGCGCGGGCGCCAGGAGGTTTCGCGCCAAACGGATGTGATATTCATGTTTAGGAGGTGGAAATACCCCAGGAGACAAATTTTCAGCCATTTCCGTTCACGGAGAAAAAAGTCGGTCAAAAACTGGCCAGATTTCGAATGACTAGAGCAGTGAAGGGTAAATAGTGCCGATTTCAGTTGCATTCTGCGCACTCCGTATCGCGCAGGTAGGGAGGGCGTGGCTGTGTACTTCATTTGAACGTGGCGACGGCTGTGCTTCGGAGGATATTGCCCCACCCCCACCCCGCCCTCCCCCCCTAAAGACTATTGACTATTTTAGACATGCCTTTGTCCAGCACAAGGTAGGCTGGAGCTGTATCCAATGGAAAGGTCACATAAACGCAACCTGTGTTATGTTCAAAGGAAGTACGTAGCCACACCCCTCTAATGCATACTGTATACGCAGGCAATATACCAGCCGAGCGTAATATCTGCAACCCCAGGAGAAGGGCAGGCATTTCCTCCCGTATAGGTGAACCATTTCTCTTGAAGTACAAAAACCACATTAAGCGTTGGGACTTGTTTTACCCATCCCGGAACTTCTCCCCAGGCTAAAGCAGAAATTCTCACGCCGAAGATCCACAAATGCTTTTTCGCATACTCCGGCATTAATTGCTATTTATCGTTCAACAAATCTGAAAGTATGTTCATACTGTGCGTCGGCGTTTTGGCGTGCGCCAGCATACGGCACCGCTTTCAACGACCAGGAAATGTGAGTATTGAAATCAGCGTTTCGAGTGTTTTGAATGGCTAAGAAAGTATAGGTATCGATTCACCGTTTCAAGCATACACTAGCGTTTTAATGACTAGCCGTTACCGTTATTCGGGTGTAGGTGGCTAACTGTAGTATTTCAGGTCGCAAGAAGGTGCTAGGCACCGAAATATTCGAAGAAGAGGAGTATAAACAATATAAAAATTTTTTGTGAAAACTTTTGGATTCTTTTGAATCTTTTGAGTCTTTCGCAATAAATTTTGGCGCCTCTTTTATGTGTTCAACATTCAGATTGCAATGAGGCTCCGGGACAGCACTATTTTAAAAAACTTTATAGCTTTGCTGGAGTTTACAGGATTTTGCAAACTTAATTGAGCTGTTCACAGAAAATTGTCAACCCCCTCTCCCCTTAGCGGACTTGCACCACTTTTGTGCCCATGAAACCGCGAACTATTACCTGATCGTTCTTGAAGACAAATAATTTTTATTGGAGATCTGTTTTAGACATTGAGCGGTCTACAGCATACTAATCTTGTCGCTCTGCTGAAATGTACAGAAACGGCCACACATGTATACCTGGTGATGGAGTTTTGCAATGGAGGCGATTTAGCTGATTACCTCAGTCAGAAGACTACCCTTCAAGAAGACACTATTCATCACTTTGTCGTTCAAATAGGTAAGCTTCATCTGTTGAACATAGTCTTTCGCGTGTTCAAGAGTGCCCAGTGCACTGCACATTCACTTGAAGGACTACGAAACCTAGAAGAATTCTAAGGAAAATGTATAAACTTAAACTTTCCCTCTTGGTAAAATATTTGTAGTTTTCTAAGCTTGAGGCGTTCATACTTCGCGACTCTGAAGATTCGGCGATTTGAGAGACTGCGCGGTGAGAAAATGTAGGCATCGATCTGGCGACTGCGGGGCTGAGCGATTCGGCGATTCGAAAAACTCGGCCTTTCCGGCGGTTGTACGCCAAAGTAGAGAATGGGTATCGAACTACGCCGGTCGCTAGCGATTGCGGGGATTCAACGATCCGGTGCCGGTCGCTGGCGATT